AAGAAAGCAGCCTGACACCCCAGCCGGCTCAGCCCCTGCGAGCTTCTGCGCCCCGGGAACAGCGCTGCCAGCTTGGTACGGGCAGCTGCCCGCTGCCTGTGCCGACCTGAGTCCCCCCAGGGTTGGCCGTGTCCCTCCACGCTCCCTGCAGCACCAGCTCCCAAAATTCCCTCGGGAGGCAGGTGCCACCTCTCGGGATGCCAGCAAGCGGGGAATGGTTTCCTTCCCGTAGGCGGAGTAGCTGAGCTCAGCTCAGATTTTGGGGACCCCGGGGGATGAGGTGGCTCTGTGATGCTCCCCGCTGCCAGCCAGTCCCCCACGCGTCCCTGTCCCCAGCAGGATGGCCGATTCAGACACCTACCTGCGGCAGCCCTGGCGCATGGTGCATGACATCCCCATGGTCAGCGCCTTCGCCCACAACTGGGAGCGGGGTGACGCCTTCCAGAGTCGCCCCGAGGACATCGTGGTGGTCACCTTCCCCAAATCTGGTGAGCGTCCCCAGGCACCAGAAAGGGGCCGTGGTCGGTAAGGGAAGCACCGGCCTGCAGCCTCCTGGGCTGGGACTGGGGGGGATGCCGAAAGGCAACGCCGGTGGACAGTGCCCCTCTGGTGCCCAAGATGGGGCTCTGGTGGGAATGGTGCCAGCCGGATGCCCGACCTCTCCTTGCCAGGCACCACCTGGGTCAGTGAGATCGTGGACATGATCCTGAAAGGCGGCAACCCCGAGAAGTGCAAGCAGGACATTATCAGCAATAGAGTGCCCATGCTGGAGTTTGCTGCTCATGGGAAGATGCCGGCAGGTAGTGGGGTGGCAAGGGGTGGTGGGGGGCAGCTGGTGCTGGATGGGGGACAGGCTTTGTTTTGGGGAGGGGGGGCACCCACTGGCGGTGGGAGCCCTCCTGAGGGAAATCTTTGCAGGCACGGAGCAGTTGGAGGCCATGGCGTCCCCTCGCATCATCAAGACCCACATCCCAGCTCACATCTTGCCCAAATCCTTCTGGGAAAACCGCTGCAAGGTAACAGGCTGGCGGGGACACACTTGGAGGGACCCAGCAGAGATAAGGGGGACGCCTGCCCCACCGGGACCTTGCAAGTCCCCATGTGTCACCAAGCTCTCTGCAGATGATCTACGTGGGGCGCAATGCCAAGGATGTGGCTGTCTCCTTCTACCACTTTGACCTGATGAACAAGCTGCACCCGCACCCTGGGACATGGGCCCAGTACCTGGAGGAGTTCATGGCCGGCAGAGGTGGGACAGGGCACCTGCGGGTACATGTGGGGACCCTGTGACATACTGACACCCCCCTGGCTGCTCTCCCCACTCAGTGGCATATGGCTCCTGGTACAACCATGTCAAGGACTACTGGGAGCGGAGGAAGGATCACCCCATCCTCTACCTCTTCTACGAGGACTTGAAGGAGGTGAGGGTCCAGAGTGGATGGCGGGGTGGGATCTAGCGGGGGGTTAGGAGGGGTGAGCATCAGCCTGTCTCCCTCAGGACCTCCGCCGGGAGGTTACCAAGGTGGCCCAGTTCCTGGGGCAGGAGCTGCCAGAGGCAGCGCTGGATGCTATCACCCGACACACCTCCTTCGAGGCCATGCGGGACAATCCCACCACCAACTACACCGTTAGGAGGGGTGGGCATCAGCCTGTCTCCCTCAGGACCTCCGCCGGGAGGTTACCAAGGTGGCCCAGTTCCTGGGGCAGGAGCTGCCAGAGGCAGCGCTGGATGCTATCACCCGACACACCTCCTTCGAGGCCATGCGGGACAATCCCACCACCAACTACACCATGGTGCCCTCACACCTCCTGGACCACGGTGTCTCCCCCTTCATGCGCAAAGGTGAGTGGCCCCAGGGGGCTCCCAGTGCATTGTCCCCCCTGGTCCCTGCTGAGACCTGTCTTGTGTGGTCCCAGGCGCTGTCGGAGACTGGAAGAACCACTTCACCGTGGCCCAGAGTGAGCGCTTTGACCAGGACTACGCGCAGAAGATGTCAGGCACTGACCTGCACTTCCGCACCCAGATGTGAGGACGCACCACCAGACGCCCCCCGGATCCGCCCAGTGCTGATAGCACCACCGCCGTGCCGTGGGGGGGCTCCTTCCCCTCTCCTGGGACTGCTAAAGAGAAATAAAATGTCCTCCCTGACACCCCCTTGGGATGCTCACTGCCCTGTGCCAGTGCTGACCCCGGGGCCGTTGGCCTCTCCTCAGGCTGGGGACAAGTCGGTGCCACCCCACGTCCCCTCGGCCGCCGTGGTGGGAAGATAGCTGCAGGCAGCTTGCGGGATCGCAGAGGATTTTGGCAAAACTGCGTGTGGGGAAGGCGCTGGCTGAGCGCAGACAGCGAGAGGTGGTCTGCCCATCGCCACGCCGGGGGGACACGGGCTGGGACCTGTGTGTGGGGAGCGGGGCTGATGGAGCCGGAGATGTCTGTACCGGCCCTGCCGAGACGTCAGTGGCTAACAGCTGGTCCCCCCCCGCTCTCCCCCCCCCACTTTTCGGCCAAACATCGCTGCCCTCCCCGCCCTGCCTCTTCCCTCTCCTCATAAAAACAGCTGCGGGGCCCCACGTCTCCCTGTCCTCTGCGGTCACCCTCGCCGTCACCCTCCTCGCAGAGCTGCGCAGCGGCGCTAGGTGAGCCGTGTGCCCCGGGGTGCCCTGTGGGTGCCCTGCCCACGCTCAGCCGCTGGGGGCTGCGTGCTGCGGGGTCCTGGGTGGTGGGTTTGGGATACTTTGGGTTGCAGCCAGCACCCCTAAAGCTCCCCTTGGGCTGGGGGCTGCTGTGATAACCCCAGGGACCCAGTTCCCTGCTCCCCTGGGGTGCTGAGGCAGGGGGAGAGGTGCTATGCTTGGGTGACACCGGCACCCTACGGGCACCTCCAGTCCTTGCTGGGGCACGGGGTGGGCTCCCGCCCTCGCAGATAGGACCCCTGTTCCCGACAGTGGGCAAAGCGGTAGGGCTGTGGTGACCTCTGGTCCCTGCACCAGCAGCGTCACCGCCACTCCCCGGGCAGGCACAGTGCCAGATGCCCGCACTGCCCTGGCCAGCAGGGCAAGGGACCCTCTCCTCACTGGCCACCTCCCCAAGGCGTCCCCGTTCCTGGCAGGATGGCCAATCCAGACACCTACCTGCGGCAGCCCTGGCGCATGGTGCATGACATCCCCATGGTCAGCGCCTTCGCCCACAACTGGGAGCGGGTTGACGCCTTCCAGAGTCGCCCCGAGGACATCGTGGTGGTCACCTTCCCCAAATCTGGTGAGCGTCCCCAAGCCCACCAGACATGGTGGTGCCAGGTGGGCAAGCATGTTGTATGGCTGGGACCCACTGCCTGGGGGACGCAGCACATTCGGGGCTGTCCAACAGAGCTGTGTGGGGTTTCCTTTTGCCCCCACGGAGCCCAGTTGAGGTCCAGGGGGCTGTTGGTGCTGAGCCACCCCAATGCTGCTCTGCCTCCCCGCCGGCGTGTTTCTTTCCCCAGGCACCACCTGGGTCAGCGAGATTGTGGACATGATCCTGCAAGGTGGCAACCCCGAGAAGTGCAAGAGGGACATTATCAGCAAAAGGGTGCCCATGCTGGAGTTCTCTGCCCCTGGGGAGATGCCGGCAGGTAGCAGGGTGTGGGGGCTTGGCCATGGGCCCCTGTCTGGGGGTTGAGCCCACAGGGACTCTGCTGAGGGCCCGCTGGGGATGTGCTTTGGGGTCCCCCAGGAACGGACCTGCTGGCCACCATGCCCTCACCCCGCGTGGTGAAGACCCACCTGCCCGCACATATTCTGCCCAAATCCTTCTGGGAAAACCGCTGCAAGGTAACCCCCAACCCTGGTATCTGCCCTAGGGGGCAGTGCAGCCCCTATGTTCCCCCGGGGCAGGAGCTCCTGCTGCTCCCTCCAGCATCCTAAGTGGTGTCAGGAGCCCTAGGGGCTGGAGCATCCCCCCCGTTGGGGGTTCTGGGGCTGCCCCTCATACCCCATGGCCCCTCTGCAGATGATCTACGTGGGGCGCAATGCCAAGGATGTGGCTGTCTCCTTCTACCACTTTGACCTGATGAACAAGTTGCAGCCGCACCCTGGGACATGGGCCCAGTACCTGGAGGAGTTCATGGCCGGCAGAGGTGGGACAGGGCACCTGCGGGTACATGTGGGGACCCTGTGACATACTGACACCCCCCTGGCTGCTCTCCCCACTCAGTGGCATATGGCTCCTGGTACAACCATGTCAAGGACTACTGGGAGCGGAGGAAGGATCACCCCATCCTCTACCTCTTCTACGAGGACTTGAAGGAGGTGAGGGTCCAGAGTGGATTGTGGTGTGGGATCTAGCGGGGTGTTAGGAGGGGTGAGCATCAGCCTGTCTCCCTCAGGACCTCCGCCGGGAGGTTACCAAGGTGGCCCAGTTCCTGGGGCAGGAGCTGCCGGAGGCAGCGCTGGATGCCATCACCAGACACACCTCCTTCGAGGCCATGCGGGACAATCCCACCACCAACTACACCATGGTGCCCTCACACCTCATGGACCACGGTATCTCCCCCTTCATGCGCAAAGGTGAGCAGCCCTGGAGGACTCACGGTGCATCGTTCCCCTGTCCCCGCTGACCCCATCTTGCCTGTCCCCAGGCACCGCTGGAGACTGGAAGAACCACTTCACCGTGGCCCAGAGTGAGCGCTTTGACCAGGACTACGCACAGAAGATGTCAGGCACTGACCTGCGCTTCCGCTCCCAGATTTGAGACAGCACCGTTGCATGCCCCGCAACCCACCCCCTCCAATCCCACTCCCCAGCAGCAGCTCCAGCACCTCCCCAGCCTCCCTGCATCTCACCAGCTTCCCTGCACCAGAGGGACTTTCGCAAAACTGAAATTTTATTTCTGCATCCTCCTCCCAAATTTGCACCCATGTGAAAGCTGCTGCATTGCTACAAAGCACTGTGGCGCCTCATCCCACCTCACATTTCCCCAGCCCCGTGTTGCCCACCCAGGACGTGTGTAGGATACACCTGTGCAGCTTTTTTGGGGGGAATGAAAAAGCCAGTATGCCTTACAGAGGTGTTTCCTGCACATGGCGAATAAAAGTTGCTAGCAGCTTCTGCATGTGCATCTCTACCATGGTCAGGGCTCAGACAGGATCCTGCACCCACCGCCTCCTACCTCAGAAACCCCCCAGCTGATGTCACGCTTTAGGGGGGGATGGGACAGGACAAGGCACAGTGATGGCCATGCTTCCCCTTCACTGCTGGGGCAATGTCGGAGAGATGAGGTTAGTGGGATGGGGACAAAACCAGCCCCATGGTGGCCAGGAGATGGACACAGCTTGGGGATCTTGGGACCAATCCCTCCACCCAGGAGCAACCAAGCTGGAGGCAAAAGGAGGATTTTGCCAGTCGTTTTTGTGCTGTGCTCCTCCCAGGAACCTGGAAGCTGTTATGCTGGCCCAGTCTCCCCACAACCACATCACCCATCAGGTATGGTGGGTCCCCAGTGGGGTCAGAGGAAAGGGTCTCCTCAGCTGCTCCCCCTCCCACCGTGGCCAGGAAAACCACAGCTAAAGGACATACTGCAGCACCGTGGCACATGATGCAGCTGCAGGGCTGGAACAGCATTGCTAACAGCTGGTGCTTTTAAAATAGCTGTTTTTATGTCACAATCATTTAAGAAAAGGAGACTGCGAGTTGGAGGGTTGTTGGGTCCAGGTTCCTCAGATGCTGTCCCCTCCTGCCCATGTTCGTCATCCTCTCTTTGGTTTGGCACATGTGCAAGACAAACTTGCCTGCAACCTGGAGGAAATATTCATTGCTTGTAGGTACAGAGCATGTCTGAAGATGCAATTTCTTTCTCAGGAGTGGATGAAATAGGCCATGAGGTTAAAAAGAATGACCAGGGACCTAGGGGACAGGCAAGGTGTCAAGGATGCACCCAGGCACAACCCAGCACTGAAAGAGGAGCTATTGGATGTGAAACAACCATCGTTCAGCAAAATCCTTGGAGTTTGGCTATCAGGTACCAGAAACCCAACAAAAGAGGGGGTGGTGGGCATCACAGCAGAGATAGGTCTTACCTACAGGATGTGTGGGGAGAAAGCAAGGAGAAAAAGAGAAGATACAGAACTGTGACCCCACCTTGGAAGAAATGTTATTTTAAGTCACAATAAAATAATTGCAAATGGTGTCTGGTTCTCCCTCAGATGCTGGGAGCTTCTCTGTGTTGTATGATGCAGTTTGTGTACCGCTTGATTGTAGTGACTTGTTACAGAGCGCCGCAGCAGGCTCTGAACCTTGCTGTCCCCTCTTACCCTGCACTTTCAGTACAAACAAAACCGAGCCAGAGATGCCAGAAGAGGAGACGGTAAAAATAATCCGGGTAATTACAGACAGGATCAGAGATGCCTGAACTGCGGAACAGTGGCTTCAGGGACTTCTGTCATACAGAAAAGATGCCATGTAGGAAAGCAACTCCTGGGCCAGATGTGGTTCCCTGTGTCACATCACGCTGTAGTTTTGTCTTCTACAAATCTGCCTTTGAAACCCTGACTCTCATGATATCCACCACATTCCATAGCACATTGTACCTCCCCTGGGGATTCGCTTTTCCCCCACAACTTGCTGGTTTGGGTTTTGGGGTGGGTTTTTTTGGTTTTTTTTTTTTTTGAGGTCTCTTATTTCATGCGCTGAGATACTACCAGCAATTTGTCCACACTGATCTTCCCCATCCTTGAGGACTCTATAGGCTTTCTTCATAACACAGCCTCCCCCAGCTGTGTATTTTTAGGCTGAAGGCACCTTAGTCTGTTCAGGCACTGATTTCCTCTGCTGATTTATCTTGCAGCCCCTTGACACCATGACATCTTGCTACAGGAATTTCCTTTTATTCTTACTCCTGCTGTTGAAATTTGGCACCACCACCATGTGTTTTGGCCCCGCTGTTCCTGCTAAAGACTGCTCCTCCACTAATGTCAACAACTTGTTCTTCTGTAATTTGTTTCAGGCATTTTCTTCCCTCCCTAAATCTCTTGCTCACCTGTTTGTTGCTGCTTGGATATAAAGTCAGGCCTTCCAATCACCCCTGCTTTGCCGCTTAGATGTTTCCATTTGTGTGGAAGCACACAGATTTGGTTTTTGTTTCCTCAAAGCATCTCTGATCTGTTGATGACTCGCTAA